ATATTCATCTGCATTCAGCTCCTGAAGCATGATTGCATCAAAGTCGTAAAATAACCTCTCTAGTATAGGCCCTCTATATCTAGCACTTCGACATTACAAACAAACCAAAAAAAAAAAAAAAACACACCTTCACAGGATTGAACCCCAGCAGTTCTGTTTTTCGCCTAAATCTCCTGGCTCCTGCCTTTCTGTCTGCTCTGTGGCTAAGTCGATGCGAACGCTTGGTAATGCCGGCTGCCGGTCATGAGCCTTGCGTTGGTTTCAACAGTGGTATTAAGAAAGCCGACCGTCCAGTAGCAATGGCAAACTACTAGACGTAAATTTGCCTAGAAAAACCTCACAGCAGCCAGGGGCTGTTGTTGTTGGTTCTGCAACTTCCTGTAAAGGATACGCAACTAACCTCCTCCTGCCCTTTTATTTTTCTGCTTTCCATTCTTACCATTTCTTTGTTTTTCTACTATTCACTCTCCCTTCACTGCTTCATGAAGATGACGTCAAGCGCAGAGCACATGCTCTTTAGCTTCGGCGACAATTCCTATTAAATGAAAATGAAAAATCCATATGTTGAAGTTTTTATATAGCAGAAAGTAACCAGTGACCCTAGTAGAGCCTGCCTGCTAGAGAAGAGGCGATGGATGTCCTTATGGGTTCGATAAGCCTGGTGCCGCCCCTCCCACTGACCAGACGTCCACCTTCCTTTCTGTCTATCCCACAGCCATTCAGCCTCTCAGCAGGTAGATCCACTTTAGCTTGGTTTTTTTTTTTATACCAAGGTTGTCTCCTCTAGATCAGTTGTGTTTTGTCCCAGGACCGTGAGGTCCTGGTTTAAAGGGGGGGGGGGGTCACCTTTTGAAGAATGTGCCTTTTCGGTCACGCACAACGGTCTTGAATTTAGGACACCACCTGAGCGCACCCCTTTCGCCTATAAGGCTAGACCCAGAGACTCACAAGGGGGAACAGCTGGTGTGTTCCACAACCCATTGGTTGTGAAAGCAAAAGTTCAAGACCTAATTCTTAAGAATTATCATGGTATCGGTCGATTAACTAAATTCCACTGATTATGTCCTGTGAAATCTATTCCACATCAAGTGCAGAATCTAGTCCATCCTATCTCACCTGTCTCATCAGCGTACGTTTTGGAGTTTCGCGCCGTCCCACCCATGGGTAACCCAAAGAGGACAAGGACCCTTCATGATAATGACAGAGGAGGTTATATAACAATATCATCCTCCACGCCAGTCAACAAACACATCCTAGCGTTTTCGCCACACCTTACACCTCAAACAGCACAGGACGCTCGTACATCAAACAGGGCTACAGTAGCGGGAATATCGCCGTCCTACCCCTGGATGCTCTTGAGTATTTACGCCCCCTTCAAATACGAAAGTTATCAACCGTTTAAAAAAGTTGTCGCCCCCTTTTTTTCGACACCCAATCGATACGCATCCGTCTTATCCTGAAAGACTGCTCCTTAAAGACTGCTCCTGAAAGTCTACTCATGAAAGACTACTCCTGAAGACTACTCCTGAAAGACTACTCCTGAAGACTACTCCTGAAAGTGTGATTGATGTGTGCCTCTTCTACTACTAACTTGTGAGATGACATGTATTAGAAGTGCGGTGGGAAAACAAGACCAGTCTGTCAGCAAAGAAGAACTAAGATTAGAATCTGGCGCTTCAAAGAATCAAATGGTTTGGTCATCTGGTCAGAATCGTGCAAAATAAACTAGCAGCTGCAGCGTTCTATTTGAAAACACGAGGCTACAAGGCAAGAGGCCGATCAAGAAAAACAGGAGAACGGAGTTTAAAGAGAACCTATAGAAATGCAGTACGGCACTAACACAAGCTACCTAACTAGCACAACACAGAAAACTCCTTTGTGCTATCTTCATAGCATAAGCGATAGGATATTTTTTTAAAAAAAAGTATTAGCCTCACACACTTTCACTGTCTCTCAACATAGAGGTAACTGTGTAGATATTATCATCACCTGACTGAACTGATGCATCTTGGTCTCTTAAAGTTAACCCATTGCACCAAGGTCCCACATCTCCCAACGTGTTTATACGACGTCATCAGTATATTTAATCTAGACACCGAATGCTTGCATTGCCAGCCACACAACTGTGATTCTAGGTTACTCTCACGAACAAAGTAACACAAAAAACATATCTCCTGGTATTCAGGATCATCCCCTGTGCTTCAGACTGCCAGATGGCCGAACAGCAATGTCATGTAATGAAGTTCAATTCAATACTGTGTATTATGTGTGTAAGTATCCTTCCTTCGTTTTCAGCATTCCGAACTACTGAGATTCAGTGCTGCAGATAGCACTCATCTCTCAAGTTGGTCTTTTAACCAAGCGATTCTTGGTCTGTCTGGATGTTGACTTCCATCGTCTTCTTAGTCTGCCTCGTGGTCAACGACCATTTGGCTCTCTTATGAATACAGATTGTAACCTCTCTGTCATCTGACATTCCCTTTATATGCCCAACCATTTAAGTCTATTTGATCTCATGTTGCTAGTGATCAGTGGTGATTTAAATAGATTATGAATTTCGTTAGTACTTCTCACTCTCCGTTACTGCTGTTTGCATCTCAGTGTTCGAACATTTACTTCATCAATTTAGTTTTGATCCAAATTTCAGAAAAATATAAAACAAATGTTCTTTTCAATGTTCTGTATATTATGATGTTGCTCTTGTAAGATAGAGACTTTGTCTTTGAATGTTGCAGTAAGAATCGACATTACAGCACTCGGGACACTCATAAGTAACTCCTCGCAGCGCCATTCTCCTTAGACTGTAATGATCTATCTGCTCTCTCGCACTGTTCACTCGCTCCCAAAGGTCCCAGGCGCAGAGATAGAATCCTATAGCCTTTAAACAACAGTGATATCCCTCTATAATTGTCCCATTTATGCTTGATTCCTTTCTTTAAAATGGGTATTAGTAATTACTTATTACACACTTCTGTTGAACTTCTGATTCTGCAGCACCGGCTGGCTAGTCTCTGCACTCACGTCCTAACGTGATTGGAATCCTAAACAAGTCTGAAACTTTTTCAGACACCTTGGCCCACTCCTCTCCTCGCCCAAAATTATCAAGCCTGCACACAGGTCTGATTGTGTCTTCAGCTTGCGCCATCATTTCAGTCTGTGACCCTTAGCTTCACCCAGGGCTTCATGAAGGAGGTGCTTCTTGTCGGCAGCTACTCTGAGATAAGGCTTTGCCTGCAGAACTTTGAGCCTATCTGCAATAGCAGGCAGTGCAAGCATATATCGCATACATACTACGGGTATCTCTCGTACATCCCACAATTACCATGGCTTCATTCTATATACGTTCGGTTTTATCAGCTGACTCCTTGATATGGTAAGCATTTTAAATCCATAATCTATCACCGACAGGATCATATACGGGAAAATTGTGAACAGCATTCTTTGTTCCATGTCCAATGCTGTAATAATCTTGAGAGCATTCAGTCCTTTTTGGCATGTCACCACAACTGCCTCACGTGATCCCTATAGGACAGGCTTTTATCGAAAGTGATACTCAAGTACCTCAGTTTTTTTTTTTTTTTTCTCTTTTGATGATACTGTTATTAACTGTGATGCTTGGAACACCGGCTCTTACCATTCTTTTGTCGAGAGAGCTCCACAAAACAGCTGCCTTTTCTAAGTCCTCATTTTTGCACACCACTCAATTTTTTGTCTACGGTTGCCTGCAGCTCTTGGGCTATCTGTTGTCTATCATCCCCCTTTCCTTTATGCAAGAACATTATCAGCAAACGTTAAAATCCTTTCAACACCTGGTGCATGAAGTTCTGCAATCTTGCTTGTATACACATTAAGGAGCACCGATAAAATCGCAGAACCCTGGGGTAATCCCGGGGCGATATTACATGGTTCTGAGGTCCATATACCGAGGCCAAAGGCGGCCAAACGTGAATGCAGGACAGCTGCTGTTCACAAGCCAGGGATAAATCTCTTTTCCGTATGTTCAGTTATCAAAATATCATGTCTGACTCTATTGTAGGCATCCTCAAGAACAAATGCTGCCACAACCGTACCTGTATGTTCTGAAACCTTTTATAAACATCAAAAGCAGCTTTCTTTCAATGGCCGATAACTACAAAAAACCTCTTGGCAGTAGCTCTTCCTTTTCCAAAAACATTTGCAGTTTAACAACAATAATCGTCTCTAGCACTTTGTCAAACGTATTTTGTAGGGTGATAATCCTGAAACCGCTGAGTCTGGAATGCTCTTTGTCTGGTTTCAGAAAGGTGATCATGTGATCAGGTAGCTGTATACCTAATCTTAGGGAACTGACGCTGTTCTGACGTTCCCTCAAGTCTGCATCACTCATGCTCTTCATATGGGCTTTACCTCACCCCCCCCCCCCCCACCCCCCCCCCCCCCCCCCCCCCCCCCCCCCCCGTCTTAGCAATGTTAAAGGCTATCGTATACTTATTTCTAAATTTATACTTTATTTCACTTCTATCCCTCTAACTTTTTTATTTTCATTATTGTGGGTTCTTGATTGATAAATAGTCCCGTTTTTTGTAGCTGCTTCTTTTAAGAGAGCCGTGTTTTTTACCATTATTATTTCTTTTCTTCAAAGAAATCTTTTCACCTGCATAACCAAAAATCTTGTGT